CCTTGTTATCAAAGAGATATTTCCCTCTCTACCCCTATCTGCCTTCAGTAGGGAGGACTCACTCCGCTCCACACTCCCCACTAACCCCACCATCCCCGGCACCTTTCCTTGCAACCACAGGAGGTTCTACACCTGCCCCTACACCTCCCCTCTCACCTCTGTCCAAGGCCCCAGACAAACTTTCCAAACCTGACACGGGGATTCACCTGTACATCAAACAACCTGGTTTAATGTATCTGTTGCTCCTGATGTGACCTCCTCTACATCGGTGAGACCAATCACAGACTCAGTGACCGATTTGCAGAGCATCTGTGCTCTGTACCCTGTAATCAACAGCACCTTCTGATTGCCAGCCATTTTAACTCCCCCTCCCACTCCCTGGGTGACATGTCCATCCTGAGCATGCTCCAGCGCCACAATGATGCCACACACAAACTGGAGGAGCAGCGCCTCATATTCCGCCCTGGGAGCCTACAGTCCGACGGCCTGAATGTAGAATTCACCAGCTTTAAAATCTCCCCACTCCCGGCCTCATCCCATGTCCAACCCTCCCTCTCATCCCCGCCTCCTTGACCTGGCACTACCTCTCTCTCTCCTTTCCCACCTATCTGCCCCACCCTTCCCACTGACCAATCCCCACTACCCCCTACCTGTATCCAACTATCACCATCCCACTTACCTTCCTCCATCCCCACTCATCCTCCCTTCCCCAGTCCTGATGAAGGGTGTAAACCTCCTCTGATGCTGCCTGACCTGCTCTGTTCCTCCAATTCTACATTGTGTGGACTCTGACTTCAGCATTTGCAGTTCTTGCTATCTCCAAAAAAGTCACCTCAACTTGATAGGTTGTATTTTAAAGGAATTTAAAGGAAGTAATAATCTGCCAAGAATCCTGAAAATCTGGACAAGTCCCAGAGAAATGAAGACTGTCAATGTAACACCCTTATTCAAAAAGGGAGGGAGACAAAAGCAGATAACTATAGGCCAGTTAGCTTAACATCTGCCAGTGGGAAAATCTTAACAGTCTATTATAAAGAATATAATAGCAGAGAATTTAGAAATACGTAATATAATCAAGCAGAATGCACATGGCTTCATTCAGGAAAAATCACGCCCAACAGATTTGCTAGTTATTTGAGGAGATTACAAGCTGGATAGATAAAGGGGAACCAGTTGGAAATCCAAATACGTTATATAGAAAGGCATTTGATAAGGTACCACACATAAGGCTACTTAATAAGATGGTGTAGGGATGCTGTATCAGGATGGACAGGTGCTTGGCTCGGAGAAGTAGAGTTGGTGTAAAGGGGGCACTTTTGGGATGGCAGTGTGCAACTTGTAGCATGCCACAGAGATTGATGCTGGGCCCACAATTAGCTACAATATTTATTAATGGCTTGAACGATAGAATTAAATGAACCATTGAGTTTGCAGATGACCGAAAAATAAGTGCGAAGGCAAGTGCTGAGGATGACACAGGTTGTGTGAGTAGACAAACATTTGGCAAAAATGTGGGAAAATGTGAGGTTATGGTGGAAAGAAAAGAAGAAATTACTATTATCTCGATGGAGAAAGACTGCAGAAACTGCAACACAGAGGAATTTGGGATCCAAAAAGTGTACTAAAAGCAACCATTAAGAGATGAAACACAAGCTAATTATATAGAAAAAAGGTCATAAAATCCATGTCAGTTGAGAGCAGTTCACTGATACCAGAGTATGAATGGCATAGACATAGACATGACATAAAACCCCATAGTGTGGAAACAGGCCATTTGGCCCAAAAATTCCACACTGACCCTCTGAAGAGCATCCCACCCAGATCCATCCCCCTACACCTGCATTTCCCATGGCTAAAGGACCTAACCTACACATCCCCTAACACAATGGGTAATTTAGCATGGCCAGTCCACCCAACTTGCACATGTTTGTACTGTGGGGGAAACTGAAACACCCGAAGGAAACCTGCGCAGACACAGGGAGAACATGCAAACTCCACACAGACAGTTGACCAAGACCGGAATCGAACCCAGGTCCCTGGCGCTGTGAGGCAGCAGTACTACCCACTGAGCCATCGTGCTGCCCCAGTGAATGGTTGGTGCAGAGTATGTTGGTCTCTGTAGCTTGTGATGGCAACGTTCTGCTCTCTGGCTGAAGTGTTAGGTAACTGTTCCTCTTGGGCAATGAATAATGGAAGAAGACCACCTTTCATTTGAAGAGAGCAGCTGTCTGACTAGCACTGCTGCCTGTCCCCGTCTCCAAACATGTGCTAACATACGTTGCTTCTAGGGATTGGCAGTTTACCTTACAACTATCAATTGTTTGAACCTTTCTAACTAATAAATACAGGATAGGTAGATCATAAGACATAGGAACTGAAGTTAGGCCATTTGGCAATAATGGCCACGATGTCAGAATGGTTACGTTCTCCCATTGTCTTTTTCCTAGCTTTTTCTTGACATAAATAAATAAAAGAATCAAATGTATCAATGTATCCAATATGCTATATAAAATACATGACATTTTGTTAAATTATTAACTACATTCAGGTTTGTTTTCCTATTTAACTTGGGGCTGATTAACTTTTTTGTTCCCTTTTCCTGGGGAGGAAATGTACTATCCTGAAGACATAATCAGCTAATTTGAGACTGACAATATAAAATTGCATATTTAATAACATCATATTACTGGACTGATGTCTTAAATACACCTGAAGTTTCATATAGAAGGGTTTGGCAATGAATTCGGCAAGGCAATGGTGCCTCTACAACACCTATTCATAGCTGTCAATCAAGGTACACATCAGATTTAATTGATTTCAAATCCAATCCACATCTCCCTTTGGTACAAATGTACATTTACTTGCATGTACCAGAATGAATGAAGTTGCTTATGTAGTGCCTTACCTCATCAACAATTTAAGGATGCACTTTACAATCAAAATGTGACTGTTCTCTTTTATTTGTTCATGGGATGTGGACATTGACAATTTATTGTCAGCATTTATTGCCCATCCCTAATTGCCCTTGACAATGTGGATGCTATTGTTTAAGGCTATCATTACTAATACAGAAAACTTCTATCATGAGATCAACTATGCTCATCACGATACAAAAGACTGATCTTGGGATCCCAAGAATGAAGTTTAAAAATCCACAGTACCCAGACACATAGGAGAATGAATATAAGACCATAAGAAATGTATGTTTTTTTTTAAAAAAAGGGTCTGTTACTTAAATTTCTGTATTGGAGACTAGACTCTTTTGAGAAAACCACTGTCATTCAATGTTCCCTCAAAGCTGCGTAGCTGTTCTGAGAGTCTGTGCACAGTGACGAGCACGCCAATGCCATTTCCAGCATTGATTGCTGATTTTAGAAGTCCGTGCCACGCACAGACTCTGGCGTCCTGCGCAGAAGAAATCAAAGTAAGAGGAAATATCGCTGTCATTCGTAACTTCTTCTTATTTCCTTCAAACGTAACCCCCCACCCCCGCAAAAAAGACCATATTCATGGAGATACCCAAGCTCTCCAAAGGGTTACCATGACCATCCAAAACAAGAGCATACCTGCTTTGACCTGGTCTAAATCGCCATACTCCAGGTTCCACACTCTAGGGATTCCAAAATCCCCATTTCATTGCATGCAAACGGTCGTTTAAATTTGCTGTGAATCACAGCCCAACCCTGCAGGACTGAGAAGAGCCAACTTGTGGGTTCCTGGCAAATTCCAGGGCATTTTTGCCACAGTGGAAATGCTGTCCGTCCTGGACAAAGTTGGAGCCTAGATATCTGTGACTCTCAAACACAAAATGTCACATCACTTCTATTATTCACTGTTGTTCATTTATTTTTCTGGGTAGCCATGCTTTGTAATTATTCACAGAATTAATCTTCCAACCTTCAATGAATCCATGCTGATTTTGAAGATCGAAGTACGTTTTAAAACTCCTTATTGCTGACAGATCAACAGACAAGGTGGTCGATTTTAACATGCTCAAATTCTATAGAATCAGAACTGCCAATCTTTTCTAAATATAATTACAACCAGTAACGAAATTTCAGAAACCACCATTAACTGTATAATGACCAATAGCACGGTTTGATACCTCAGTCTTCCATCATTATAAGCTGGCATTCCATCAACAATGGATTTTATGAAAAATGGTTGACTCCCATTGTTTTCCTCATATCCACCTACAATGCTCAATCCCAGACTGCCAGATGTATTTCTTCTCAGTCCAATGTCTTTGCACCAAAAAAGGTACCTAGAATGCAACAAAATGAAAGTAAGTGGAATTTAAATTTAAATAGGTGAAATTAACTGAAATGCAACTCGAATTCCTTGGTCAATTGTATAGCCTTTCATGTGCAATAAAGCAGTGCCCTTCTGGATTCATTACCAGGTTAACTCTAATAATCTGCACCATAACGATGTTAATTTACAAAGTTAATGGAAAAGTGTTCTTGAATAATTATGTTTGTTATTTCTTTTCTAAGTGTGTTGAATTTTTTTAGGCATTTTCTTGAGCAAAATAGGGCTAATCACTCCTTCTGAACATCTTCCATTTGGGGTGTACCCACTTTATGATTTCAGCTGATGAAAATACTGTACAGGTCAGTTTCCAGCTTGAAACCCAGCATGACATAAATTTGACAAGTTTTATTTTTCTTTACCATGAGGTCAATTTCTGAAATGTTCTTTCAATAAAGAACATAAAAGTTTATTACTGAAAAGAAATAAAAACTAAAGGAAACCATCTTATTACAAACAGCATAAAGAAAAACTAATCCCCTTTTATCCTAGTAGGCATTCAAACATTGGTGAAGAGCCACCCATATCTATGAGTTAGAGCTTCTTGCTCAGCTGGTCTGGTAGTGATATGCTTCCTTCTGGTATATTTCTGCATTGACTCAATGCTACTTTCTTCAGTTAATGTCTTTCCTGAGGCTTTAAAACAAACTGTTAGCTCACATTATTTAACATGGGTTCCCTACACTCATTGCCTTCAAACAGCCTTATAGGATGTCATCCTCTCTGACACTTCCATAGCCTTCTGTTCCTGGAGCTATCTTCTCACTGACTTCTAAATTGTCTCCAGCACCTCTGCTGTTATGCACATTTCCCGGATTGAATCTGCTTCTGGCCTCTCTCCTCTGGGTTGCAAAACTCAAGTCAACAAACATCTTAATTATCTTCCCAGGTGGCTTGCTGATCATTTAACTGAAATCACATTACTTCCAGTAAATGCTGTTTGAATTCAACATTCAAAATTACTTTTTGACCTTGAAAAAGTGTGGTCAGATTTTAGCAGAACTGAAAACTAAAATCCATCTTCCTCTACTTTAGCATCAAGTTCTCAAATAATATATTATGAATCTTTGTAACAATATTTAATTATACAGTGACATAATTCAATGTTATAACTGTAGTATCCTCTTGTAAATCAGAAGTGAATATTCATGTATTATTCATGTGCTTCCATTTTTTTGAAGCAACCAAGAAAATATTTGATACAAATAATTAAAATGACTCCAATTCATGTAAATGAACACATCAAGTGGCCATTGTGAGTAAATCTACTTAGTTTAGTGCCATTCATCTGTACTTAATAGTATTAATAATGAACACACCACCGTCCTACATATCAGTAGGTTATGTTAATAATTCAAAAAGCTGATGGTGAATTTCCTGCATTCTGCGCCTGAACAAATTATCCCCTTATAAACTGTCACTGACTTTGCAGCGTTATTGACATGACTTTTGTTGTTCTGGGGTCTTTTGTTCAAAGGTAAAAAGCCTGTCAAAAACAGACCTTGTGAAGTAGTTATCAATCATCAAAGTCAACAAATTAACTGTTTAAATCAAACAAAGAACTACGGATGCTAGAGGTCTGAACAAACAAAAACAAAGTGCCAGAGAAACTGAGCAGGTCTGACAGCATCTGCTGAGAGGGAAACAGAGTTAACATTTTGAGTCCAGTGACCCTTCTTCAAATAATCAAATTAATTGTTAGCCATGATTGCTGGTGCAGAGGGCGTACTCACGCTGCATGCAGTATCAGTATCTATAACTCATTGACAGTGAAAGCCCAGGCAGATGATGATGCAGATTGAACAAAGACAGAAAACAACATATTATCAATCATGAGTAAAGTAGTGGAAGGGTTCATCAATAATTCTATCAAGCAGCACTTGCTCACCAATAACCTGCTAACTTTTCCAAGTTTGGGTCCTGACAATGCTACCTAGCTCATAACTTCATTATAACTATGGTCCGAACATGGACAGAAGAGCTGAGCTCCAGATGAGATGAGTGACTGCCCTTGATATCAAGGCAGTATTTGACTGAACTATTCTGGTACAATGCATTGCTTACTGCTTTGAGGAACCCACTTCCCTAAATCAGGAAAATTCAAAATTGTGACAAGTATTTAAAAATCTGAACTTGAAGTCTCTGAGTGGATTTTGGGTCATCACCTATTACGTTTCCTGCATCAGGTGCACTCAGGTGAGAAAATGGGAATCTGTGCTCTCCCAATCACCATTTTGACCTCTGATATGGATTTGTCCTTTACAGGGTGACCAAATCCAGTCCATGGTCATTACTCATGACATGAAACATCAGAGGAGGTAAACTAGTTTCACAGCTATTTAATGGGCTTGAACCTGTCTCATTTTCTTGCTTGGAATAATTCCTGATGATGATTTATCTTTAGCTCAATGTCAAACATTCAGCTGAACATAGATCCAGAATGAGAGCCATGATATAAAATTATATTTTCCATAGAAATCTCAAAAGCATTTCTGGTGGAAGCTAGCCTTAAGATAGAGCCGCTCTCAAAATGAGCACAGGATAGGATCTTCACTGAATAAACCATTGATTTAAACATTGAATGAAGAGACCAGTTTTACCTAAACCAATATCTACCGGTTGCGTGGGATGTGGCAAAAATAAAAGTGTGACCACAGGTGGTCTTTAGACATATTATAGATTTGCCAGAGGAGCAGAATGTATGGCTGGAATAGCAAATATATATGTTACATCAGCATTACTAAAGCAGAGGGACACCAAAAGTTCAATTCCTGCACCAGCTGAGGTTACTATGAAGGACTATCCTTCTCAATCTTTCCCCTGTCCTGAGCGTGGGGACCCTCAGGTTAAACCACAACTGGTCATCTTTCTCTGTCGAATGAGACTGCAGCCCTATGATCTGGTAGGACTATGGTAACTTTAATTTTGTCTTTATTAAGGAAGAGGACTCTGTCAAAGCTTCAGTAAACAAGGGTTAATGTTTGTCAGGATTTGAGGTGAGGTGAATTAGATTGAGGAAGTACCAGGAAGGTAGTAAAGTCAGAGTGTGCTAAAATGTAAATAAGTCACCCATTTCCGATGAAATGCTGGGGGAAGTGGAATAGATTTGGAGGCCACAATTTTCAAATCCTCCTTAGATACGTGGATCATCCTGAGGCCTGGAAAGTTACAAATGTTATACCCTTGTTCAAAGAAGAAGAGGAGGATAAAGCTAGCAATTACAGGCCAGTCAATTTAACATTAGTGGTAGGGGAAGGTTTTACAAATGATAATTTAAAGATAAAATTAACAGCCCATGTGGACAAAGAAGGGCTAATAAAGGAAAGCGCTGATTTGAGAAGGGTAAACTATGTTTGACTAAATGTACTGAAATAATTGATGAGCTAACAGAGAGGATGGGTGGGGGTGGGGGGCAATGCTATTGATACTATTTATATGGACTTTCCAAAGGTGAATGTACGACTTATTAGATTCGTTAACAAAATTGAAGCCAGGGCCTAAAGCGGCAACAGCAGCACTTGATTTTTTCAACATGAATATAAAATAAGTTCAGGATTAGAAAAGTGAGAGGTTTGGTGAATGGCTGTTTTATTGAATTGGAGAAAAGTGTAGTTCTCCAAGAAGCAGTGTTTACATCACAACTTCTTTGGTGGATGTTATTTACTGGAGGTAAAATGCACAAGGACATAAATGGGTAGCAGCTTGGGTGAATGCATAGAATCATAGAATCATAGAATCACTACAGTGTGGAAACAGGCCATTCGGCCCAACAAGTCCACACCGACCCTCCGAAGAGCATCCCACCCCGACTCATTCCCCTACCCCTGCATTTCCCCATGTCTAACCCACCTAATCTACATATCCCTGAACACTACGGGCAATTTAGCATAGCCAATCCAACTATCCTGCACATCTTTGGACTGTGGGAGGAAACTGGAGCACCTGGAGGAAACCCACACAGACACAGGGAGAATGTGCAAACTCCACAAAAACAGTTGCCCGAGGGTGGAATTGAATCTAGGTCCCTGGTGCTGAAAATGAGAAACAAAATTCAATACAAGAAAATAAATGTTGATACATTTTGACAGGAAGAATGAGGAGAGACATTACATGTTTTAAAGTGGGTGTGAGAACATAAAAGATGTTCTGAGGAAGGATCACTGGACTTGAAATGTTAATGCTGCTTTCTCTCCACAGATGCTGCCAGACCTGCTGAGTTTCTCCAGCAATTTGGGGTCTTGTTCATTTCAGATCTCCAACATCTATACTTCTTTATTTTATATTATTATATAGAAGTTCAGATGTTGCTTATGCATAAATATTTGAAGGTGACAGAACTGGTTAACATGGTATATAGGATTTTCCAGCACACACTATTTATCTCAGATTTCCACCTACAGTTCTCAGTGTTTATTAACCCTGTTTTACAGGTTTACTTATCTACTTTCCTGCCTTTGAGTGGCTTGCAAACTCCAATCCACCAAGTAAAAATCTAGGATGTTATACTAGACTAATTCAGGCCCAATTGGAGTACTGGGTCTAACTCTTTAGGTCAAGAAACAACACAGGTTGCTTGAAATTTCTGCAAAGTCATGTTACAAGTAGAATACAAAAAGGATCATTTTTCCACTTGAAACAAAAACAGAAATTGCTGGAAAAGCTCAGTTTTGGGTCCTGAAACATTAACTCTGATTTCTCTCCACAGATGATGCCGGACCTGCTGAGCTCTGTCATCATTTTCTGTTTTTGTTTCTGATTTCCAGCATCCGCAGTTCTTTTGGTCTTTATTTAATTATTTATTTGACCTGGGTATTAAAGCTTGGAAACAAATTTGGTTTACCTATTTTACTTTCATTCTGCAGTTAAGTAAATGTATTATATTACAGACTGCCTTATCATTCTGGCAGATTGGGTGGATATGTCATCTGGGTAATCTGGGTTATTGATTGATGC